GCGAGGGGGGCAGGGGATTTCAATCTACCTTTTTGACCTGATCCTCCTTCAGCTCCGTGAAGTAGTAGGCCAGGAGCTGGGCGGCGATCATCCTGCCGGCTGCAGCGGGCGGCTCCGCGCACGCAGCGATGCGGCGCTCGGGGATGGCCGCGCTGCTGCACCTCCCCTTCCTCCCCTCCCTCCTCCTCCTCCTCCTCCTCCTCCTCCTCCTCCTCCGGGCCGGCCCCGGCCCCGCCCGCAGCCCCGCTGCCACACACGGAGTCGGGGGGGGGACGCGCGAAGCCCTTTCGGTGTTATTTCTGGCAGGCAGAGCGGGGAGGAGGAGGAGGAGGAGGAAGAAGAGGAAGAAGAAGAGGGCGATGTCCCAAAGTGTCTTTTACAGCAGCTTTTGGAGACGGACTGCTGAAGGCTTCCCGCCGCTCCTTCAACTCTGCTGTGGTACGGGAAGAGCAAAGTGCAAAAGAAACCTAAACCAAGGCTGTGCTCGGAAGACCCGTCTGCACTCAAAAGTCTTTGAGGAAATAGCAAAGCTGCGGGAAAACTCCGCTAACACCGAGCATCCCCTGCGCCTGGACCTGCTGGGCTGTTGGGAGACTTGCAGTTGGGCCCTGAAAAGCAGATCGTCGCTTTGACAGTTCTGCTTTTGGGGACCCCACAGTCATATCCCAGCAGTAAAATCCCCACATCAAATACACTGACGGACAGGACCTCTCCCCCCTGTGCACGCCGCCCGTATTTTTGCCACGTTGGAGTGCGTACCCCAGCACCCCAAGGAGGCATCCACCACCGAGAAGCCTCTGAGGGCCCCACATTCACATAAGCAACACGATGCGATGCCCCTCCAAAAACTGAAGGTCAAACGCAGGTGCCAAGGTGACACGTGTCAGCAGCTCGCAGGGTTTTTGCCTGCGCCCTGTCTGTCCGCAGGGGCAGGGACACACACCCATGCAAACAGCAGTGCTGCTGGAGGCTTGATTTGCATGGAGATTGTCTACCAAAGTCCAAGTGATTAAAAACCTGTTTCTTGAGTTCCTGGCTTCCTTGTCATTGCTACTTTAATTAAATGGTTGCACTGGCCAAAATCAAGAGCTGCTTTGGCAGACACATCCTCCTTTAGACTGCCCTAGTCGCTGCCGGCAGGGTGGGCAGGATTTCCTTCTCCACCTCACCTCGTTACCTTTAAGCTCATTCTCAGTGAGATTTTCATCAAGCATTTCACTGATCTGCATGTGTTACTCCTGCTCGTTTGTCTGGCAAGCTAACAAGCAAACACGCCTGCGCTCCCCGGTGTAGGTAGGCTGCCCCGCTGCAGGCGCAGCAGCATCGCCCTGCGACCAGGCGCAGTCGGAGTTTGCGGGTGGCACAGAAACATGGGGCTGAGCAGCATCATCCTGTCCAGCAACGTCACCCAATCCTTTACACAGGCTGACCGAGCTCTCACTCAGATGCAATTCACTGTTCAGCCACGCTCCTCCTCTTCTGCCGGTTAGAAACTATCTTTAACTCCCAGCGCAGGCTCACTCCTGTTTTTGATCCATCTGTTGTCTGCTAAACCTTGTCTTTCAGCTGAAATTGCTCTCCTCACTCTCTGGTATTTCCTTTCTATAAATATAGGGGAAAGTAACCATATATGTCCTCAGCTTTTGCTTCGCTAGGTAAGACAGACCTAGCTCTTCTTTGGTCTCCTTTCCCTGAAAAGCCCGAGCTGGTTTAGCAGCTGTTTTCCACGCTCGCTCCAGCCTGAATTCAGCTCTATCGAACACAGCAGCTAAAGTTGGGTAAGTTATGCCGGAGAAGGCCAAAAGCCCTGCGCCGATATACACGGTTCTCCTACTGGAGATATGTCACCAAAACCCTTCCCATCAAACAAGCACAAACCCTGAGGCTCCTGAGCTTAACTGGGACACCAAGATCCCCCCGTGCCATCAGCCACTACTCCCAGGGGACGGCACACCTTTCATCCCACACCAAAAAACCATCCCCGTCCCTGCTTCCCCAGCGTGGCCAATGGAGTCCTGGCTGCCAGAGACGTCCTCACCAAAAAGCTGCCCTGCAGCAGCCCAGATCAAAACTTCGAAGCAAAAAGTCGCTTTCTGCACGTGTGCATTTACATTTGCCTTTTGTTGCTGTATGAACACACACTGGCACCGCTCAATTCCCACAGGCTCTCTGTTAGTGGACCTGCCTCTACACGAGGTTTACAAGCCCTACTCTCTATCCCCTCCAGCTCAAACACCTAAACACCACCTAAATATACGACACTCCCCTCAGTTACCTTGCTGCAGGAATGCTTACTCAGTTAAAACACTTGGACACAAGTTCAAGTTGTTTTCAACTAATCTTTGACCAAATGAAACCAATTCAAACCATCACCTTCAGCTGTCAAGGAATTTGAATCAGCCAGCTAAGATTCTGGGAAGTCCAAAATATTCAAAGTGGTTATGAATAAGAATCGTCTTCTTTTTAACATGACACCTGTCTTAAGAACATACCAGAGGAGAACAAGTTTATTTTCTTCATCTGCTAAAATTGTGCTTTAGAAGTGAATTGAAAACGTCACAAATCATTAGGGTGGCTTTTGTCTCTAGTGACCATTTGTATTACAGCATATTTCAAAACTCACCAGGAACAACTGCCTCGAGTTTCCTTTAAGCTACAAAAAGCAATAAATAAGTTCAAAACATCACTACTCTGAAGCCCTCTTGGTTCTGTGCAATGAAAATAAAAGTCACATACATTACAAACCCCCCAAAAAATTAAAAAGAGTAAAGTATACACTTAAGCAGGATGTGGTTCACGTGACAAAGTCAAAAGCAATTAAGGGATGGTTAAACAAGTATTGCAAATAATTTGGTTTGTCTTCAGTTGCTGAGCATGGCATTCAGGAAAAAAAATGAACTCTACAACCTAAAAGCCATTAGAGAAGAAGTAACAGTCCATCCAAGGCAAAACAGCTGCAGCGTTTAAACATTTAGTATCTTTAAACTGCTCCTTGCAAGGATAAGTAAGAGCGCATGACCAGCTTTGATGGTGTAGCCAGTGTTGGGATGTATGAGCTTTCCTCCTACCAGAGAGCTGGAAGGGCAGCTAAATATCCCCATGGACACCCAAACCATTTGCAAGCCCTCTTTGCATTGCCAGGCCAGCAGCAGGCAAACAGGTGTTATTTTGGGGGGGGCCTGGGAAGACCTGTGCACAGGCTGCCGTGCACTCCCGACTGGCTCTGCATCTCCACAGAAGGAGAAAGCCGCATCTGCGAGTGTCTCCTACCTCCTTACCATCCAGCCCTGCATTTTCCCTCCTGCTTTACTGGAAAAGATCAATTCAGCAGCCAATTAATTACCAGTACCTAATGTGCACTGCCAGGCATCCAGCAGGCTACTTGGAAAGCCACCATCCTTTAAGACAAATTACTGGAGGCTGAACGTGACACCCGATGACTTGCAGCTATTTTGATTGGGCTCTAATCTTATTGTCCAGGTTTAACTGTACTGAAGCGTTTCAACTGACCGAAGTAATTCAGTGCATCGGTTCTCCCGGGTGTGGGGTTTTTTCTGCTTTGCCTATTTCTTCATTAAACGTTTACTGCTCTGTACAAGTCTGTGTTCAGATTTGGCACCCGTACAATGGGGGGATTTTGTTTTTAATCATGTCCATCACAGTTTTGACGTACTCAGTTGCTAGATGCTTTCTGCTTTTGTAAGGAAACAATGAAGTTTCAGTTGTGTTTGTTGTTGTAAGTGTCTGAAAAATGATCAGTCCACTTTCATCGACACTGCATTTTCCTTTCACAATACTTAAAGCAAAGTGACAGAAAGCACCATCTCTAAGAAACAGTAAGTTTCCAATTCATGACAGCACCTCTGACTAACAAGGGAATTTTTAAGTGGCCTTTGAAGCTCCCATTCCAGGGTAGGAAACTGTGTCTTTGCACAGAACAAATTACTCTGCATTTGTGCTGAACTTGGTGCAGAAGCTACTACGAAAATCTAAAAGCAGCAGAGATATTGATTTGATAAGCAGTTCAGCCGAATGAGGTTAAATGTGTCATGCAATTTCACCTTGCCAGGAGGCACAGCAAGCAGGCACTACCATATAGCCAGCCACAATGCTTTATCTCACATTCCCCCTGTTAAGAAACAAGATTATCCATGAACACCTTGAGGGGGGCTCATTCCATGCTCAGGAAAGGCCATGCCACGTGCAGACAGGGAGGCATGCGCTTACAAAGTGGGTTTTATGCTGCTGATAGAGCACACCAGTGATTTGTTTCCAAAAGATGAGCGCTTCCCCTGGGAAACATGGAGCCAGGCACTGAATAACAAAGGGCCAGGACAGGCTGGGCGCATCTTGCCGAGCTAGCCACCCCCAGCAAAGAAAGTGCCACAGGTTTTGCTTGAACCCAAGCACTGGCAGGGCTTGAAGCCAGGGACTGCGTGAGGCTGCTGGGCCTTGCTTTGGAAAGAGTGGTCGGAGAGAGGATGACCACCTCTGGCCCCCGGAAAGCAGGACCTCCTTCTCCAGCCCTCCGGCAACAAAGGCTGAGGACTGCCAGTGGCTAACAGCTGTTTTTTCTTTTTAATTTATAACTTAGTTTTGTATTTATTTTATACACACGATATACAACTAAATATGTTTTTATATTATCAAAATCATAATTTATAATTAAAAGAAAATAATTTATAATTAAAATAAAATAACTTAATAAAAAAAGCTAATAGCATTTTCCGTGCCTGGCCATGCATACGGACTGTCAGGCAGCATCACCACCACACACACACCACTGTTACTGCAGGCTGCAGCAGCTGGCAGGGCCACAGCACACACCGGTCTGTGTCCAGCCCCAGCGCTGTCCTCATCACGTCTCCCAGGGAAGGGACAGGGTGCAGAGTCCCGTGATGTTGGGGGTAATGCAAGAATTCATCCCACATACTTTGTCCTCTGCGTCTCAAGAAGGTTGCCACAATACCCAGCCGTGTTTTAGGTACAAAGACTACCATGAGATTCTGCCCTCTTTTGTTGGAGTTGCTCCAGGGAGAAGGTAAGCTACTTTTTAATAAAGTCCCTTTGGAAGGAGTTTAGCACCATTCACTGAGCTGAGCATTTGAGGGTCAAATGACACTACGCAGGGCTATGGCTTTCAAGACTTAGATCCCAGCGACCTCCAAAGACAAGGCAGTATTTCTG